GGCTCAGGGTGAAGTGGCGGTAAAATGCCCGAGATCTTCGGACCCAGCGATTCGTCTGACAAATCCTCATCCCACGCAAGTCCATCTGACAGTGGGACGCGTAGTTGATGATGGTGATTCCCTATACATCACCACGATAGAAGAAACTCGAGAGATCGAGCTGCCACTGGTGTCAGTGCGCATGCCGAAACCACTCAAGAGGCCAGATAATGCAATGTCCTTCGCCACGCTCCTCAAGTAGAGTCTCCTTGAATACCGTCATCCAAAAATTTAATTGAGTGGCCGGTATGACCACTGAACGGAATCGAATCTCGTTGTTCAACTGTAGGAGGATAGGTCCTCCTAATGCAAGCATGGACAATATTCATGCTGAGGAAGAATTCTACACTGTTGTATTTTTCAAAATAGGTGGTTCAATGTCAACAGTGGCCGCGACGGTTAGGACTTGAAGCATGGATAATATGCCTTCATCCATAACATCGAGTGCATTAGCCGTGAGGCCTGGCTCGTTAAACTTGATGCAGCTCGCATCAGTTTCATAAAACTTAACCTAGCCGATGTATAAGGTACAAGTTGGATTGATTGTCAAATGAGGCAGAGTTACCCTGTCTCTTGTGAGGTGTTTCGTGTCCCGGTTGCCTGTACAATACGAATTGTGCCCTTAGGGAGGCCTCCCTGCTTATTGTTCCCTACTAGAGGGTGCGCATCTCTGCTGAGATGGCCGAAGGAATTGACACTTTGCAATCCTTGTTTATGCGTTCAAGAAGGTTCTTTTCCGATTCCCTTCTTTGAACGCAGCTGGTGGTTCTCGTCATATTGCTCGGCGATACCCAATACATCAACAATTAGATAAGCGCGAGGCACTTAGCTGTCCCAGGACGGTGGATAGCCACACCAGCGGACGAGATATTTCGTCTGGACGCCCTTCACGTTGCGGTTATTCAAAATACGCTCCACCAGAAAGCGTTGGCAACCACTGGAAATTACCAAAAGATGTAAGGGGGACACCTGATTTGGCCCGAGTGTTGGATCACCTTGATGTTTAGTAACCGAACCGTGTAACAAATTAGTTACACAATGACTTGGCTCATGTATGGACTCGACGTTATGAGCTTCATGATATTGCTAAGGATAGTTACAATTCCATAGCGTACAACGCTAAAACGACAGTGTCGCGTGCGCAGGTCGCTTCGCTAGTCGACCAGACTGGCTCTTTGAAACGGGACCACTCGAGGGTGGTCTCGGCCCCTGACCGTGGAGGTTTTCATCGCCTCTCGAAGCGAGCTCGTACTGATAATACGGGCGAAGACGTCCAACGGTAAAACTAGGATGCGTACGCATCGTACGAGGCAGTCTAATCGTGTATGTGTTGCCCATGTGGCGCAATACACGAAATAGACCAAAGCACTTGGGCAGTAGCTTGCTGCTGCCCACGTTTGTCACTGCGTGTTTCATTAGAATTGCTGATGACAGTAAAATTAAGTCTTCTTCACTTGATGAACGAACGTTAGTTCTTCCATGTTGGTCTGCATTTCTTTTCTGCTTATCCATTACATGTGCAATAAAGTCTTGAACGAAGCGGACAACCGCTTCGCGAGCAAAAAAGCCTCTGCTGATTCATTCTTTTCAACAGCAGTGCGATTCGTGTGCACTACTGAAAGAACGTTGTCTTTACCAGTGAGGGTGTCATTATCCTCACAGTAGAAGTCGTTATAGATGCTGAATGTACCAGCATCGTCGTCGTCATCATCACCGATGTCGATCGCATCGAAATCGGCATCCATCACGTCGACACCATTGTCGACGGGTGATGATCAGGAACTGGATTGGGCTTTGTTTGAGCGAGTCCACCCCCCTTCAACTAGAGTCACACTCTAAGAAGGCGAGTAAACGTGGATGGCTTAGGCCATTTACGAAGAACGGTGTATGCGTTGTCGACGCATGCACCAAGTTGTTGATGGCGAATTCTACCATCGGCAAGAATCACTCCAACTCTGAAACAAGTGTACAAACCCTCTAAGTATCTCTCCGAGGACGCGGTTGACGCGTTCCGTCTGACCATCTATTTCTGAATGGTAAGAAGTTGACATCTTCAAACGTGTTCTAAGTGAACGGAAAACGGATTGCCAGAACTCCGCTGTGAAGCGATGCCCCTATCATATACGAGCTCACGAGGTAATCCATGAAGCCGGAAGATTGTATCGATGAAGACACGAGCATAGCCCTGGGCTGTGATCGACTCTAGTATAGCAACAAGATGTACCATCTTGCTGAATCGGTCAACAAACACAAGAATACCAGTATTCTTGCGGGCGTCTTTGGGAGCGCCGAAGACGATTTCCATCGATACTGACTGTAAGCATTCTGCCGGAATTACTAGAGGATGCAAGGGTTCACGGTAGAAGGACTAGGCTTCACCCGTTGGCAAACTTCGCAAGCGCGAATGCATTTGCGCACGAACTAATACTGGCGGGGCCAGTAGAATTCACAAATCACCGTA